CTCGACAGCACCGGAAATATCTGTCTCATTCGGGTTCCGTAGCTGCCATGCCATGCAGACTTCCAGGGCTTTCCCGGTCCATTTGCCCGGCTTAATACCCAGAGCCTTGCTCAACGCCCGCCCGTCGACAAGCCGTTTGATATTGGGGGCGTCGACCACGTCCAACTCGACGAGATGGTCCAAGAGATTCTGCCAGTCTCGGAGGAAGTCATCTTGTTCTATTATACTTGTTAGAGAAGTTCCTTGCGAGGAGAAGTTTCCTTTTCTGCAGATAAAAGACTCACCCTGGGTACTCTGCTCTTTCCACTCCTCGAGATGCTCCATGGCATCTACGAGGAGTGCGTTTAGAACTTGAAGTTTCCAAGAACCGAAATGGTCCCATCGTCGGATCATCATGCCGACCGTATCTCTCTCCTTGACCCACGCCTCGCCAGCCTTGACGGCCAGCTTCACCTTCAGGATCTCTTCTCGGTGGCGATGCGCAGCACCAATCACATCGGCTAGCTTGTTTGGAGCCCTAAATCCGTTGCGAGCGACCACCCCAATCGGAGGAGGCTGGCTCGCCTTTCGGGGCACATTCGGAGGATCTTGGATAAGCATCCATGGCGCCATGGCCGCGAGGTTCCATGCTGTGTAGGTGGCCTCGTCGGTCCTAATGAGGAGGTCGGCAATGGACTGAGGGGTCTGTTGCTTGATCAGGCTATCCAGGCATTCGTAGGCCACGGCCCATCGCGGGAGCAGGGTAAGCTCAGGGGGTTCCTGGTCTGGGTCGCTGAAGATGGCACGGTATAGGCCTAGGCGGTTGATGAATCGTAGAGCCTGGGCGGGATGTTTTCCTGTAGGACTTTTTAGATTTCTAGTTGACCCCAAAGTAGGCGGGGAATAACATACCTTGTAGCATCTTCTCTAGTTCAATACCTACTCTTTCTCGGCTAATTTTGACTCGCAGAGCCTCCAAGACCTTGGAATCTCCCATGAATTTTTCCGTTTCTGGGTCAATGTTGAACTGCAGACGACTGGCGAATCTCACCAGGCGCAAAATCCGTAAAGGGTCATCAGTGAAGGTCTGCAAAGGCTCGAGAGGAGTCTTGATGAGCTTGGCCGCCATGTCGGGAACTCCCCCCGTGAAATCCTCCACGATATCCTTGTTGAGGTTGTAGAAGAGGGCGTTGATAGTGGCATCCCGCCGGAGCGCATCCTCCTCGGCCGTGCCAAACTCCATCTGCGGGTTCCGGCTCTGGTCCGTGTACGTCTCCTTGCGCAGGTTGACAAAGTCCAGGTCGAGCCCGAACATGCGCACCATGGCCGTCTCGAGGTGCTTGGACTTCTCGGGGTTGCTGGCGACGTGGTGCAGGTTGCCCACGTCCTTGTCGTTGATGCCGTGCCTGGCCTTTGCCTCGGGCGTCTCGCAGTAGTCGCGCATGTGCTGGGCGAAGTGGATGCCCGTCATCGAGTTGATGGCCACGTCGATGTCGTGGCTTTCGATGCCCAGGAGGCGGTCGCGAACCCAGCCGCCCGCCCAGCGCAGGGTCACCGGCTCGGCTGGACCTTGCCCTGCTGCCGACTCGTCGATGGAACGGGCGACGTCGAGGAGCAGACCGCGGAGCTGCTGCTCCTTTTCTGAGAGCTCGAGCTTGATGTCGGTTGCCATCTTTGCCGCTTTTGCTCTGTGTGAGGGGGAGGTTGATGCGTAGCGCGTGTAGAAGCTGGGTGACTGTTTCGAGTCTCTGAGAAAGTCCCCAAGCTTCCTTTTCATTCCGAGGTCGCCAATATACAGGCGCCGCCACATACACTCGATATAAGGTTCGCACTGAGCAATGACTCAACGTCGGGTGATGTGGGCTGTGAGCCAGTTGACCATTGACCATGCATGGACGTTCGGAGTGACTCAATCTGCACACTTGTGCCGTAACCAGCGTCACACGCCCAGGCAATTTCCTTGGTCAGCCTATCTTTGAAATGAGATCAAAATATTAAGAATATGTGGAGTATAATGAAGTTTTCCTCGTTGCCAAGGATTGAGTTGTGATCACATTGATGCTCGATGGATGGGCAAATTTTTGGCTGCACCTGAAGATTGTCTTGTGCTGGAAGTACCTGTAACGGCTGTGATAGTGGAGTGCTACAGGAAGCTCAGCAGGTGTCCCAATGTGCCATAGAAGTGCCTTATTTTCCACTTTATCTATAAATTTTAACCCATACTCGGTGAATAGAGGACTAGATCAGGTTTTGGATATATTTACCATCTGCCAAATATAAGTAAGTAGTCAACTCAGACTTCACATCTTGAGAGCCCAAAGATCGTCAATGATGTAGTGCTGGAGGGGCTTTACTATCCGATGTTGATCCGAGACATTCATCGTCTTCTAACACGCACACCTACCCTATATCCCGAACTTTCAGCATCAACTTTGTGTTTTTGCGTTTGATGATGGATCTAATCAAACCCTTAATACGCCAACCAACCCAAAAAGGGCAGTGGCTCTGGAATCAAGGGATCCATTGACTGAGCTTATGTCGTTTTCGTAGAGTTTCATTGAAGACGGAAAGAATCAACAATCACGGAGGCAAATATTCACGTAATTCGCATTATTCCTCCTCAACGTCGTCGAGCGAGAACGTGTTAGTGGCAGCAAACTCATCAAAGTCAATTGACCGCGAGTGAGACATTGAGCCTCCAACCACCGGAATGTCTGCGAATTCGGCCGGACGGGAGATGAGACCAATATGACTGCCACGTATAGGCCAGCCCCTCCCCCATTGTTATGGAGGGCGCAGGAAGTGTGTGTGCATGAGCACATCATTGTATGCCATCGAGCTGCAACCCGCAACTCAATACAGGCCAAACTGGTATGTGTGTCGCAATCCCTGCCGCCACCTTGATCTAGTCAAGGGTAGCCATAGACGCCGACGTGTACAACGAGGGGGAAAGGGGCAAGGCAAAAGAAAACATCTTGGCTCGGGAATGGAAGCATTGTGCTCGCTTGGCTGGGTACCTGCCGGCTGGAATGCCACTATTCAAAAGATGTTGAGATGGCGACAGAATTTTCCTGCCCCGGCCCTGTGAGAGGCTCGCCGTCGTTCAATATTGGGTAAATATAGAAACCTGTGACGAAATTTGGTTGATGAGTTGGAACGGGCATGCGTTTCACCTCCGTTCCTATAATGAAGGGCCCCGTCATCCCATGAACGCTGGCCGAGAAGGCGTCGAGGCTAGGGCGAATGGCCAAAGTTTGTTTGCCGGAAGGTATCCAAGCGGGTTCACTGATGGCCAGTCAATCGGGCTCAATCCATACCACTGGTAGGGGTCGCTTGGATAGGTAGGGACTGCTCCCAGGGCACGAGTTGTAGCGGTACAAGAGGCTCGATGTAACTTGGGTTTGCTTGCGTAGGTCACTGGAGCAAGGTTGGCTTGGCTTTTTGACAAAGTGATGATCTAGTCTGGATGAGGTGGCTGGCGCTTGCTTGTCCTATGGTTCGATTCGTCGATGGTATGATAGCATGCGTGTCACGATTCGCTGATCAAGAGCACAGCATTGATCTTCTGCATGGCCGCCTTACGGCAGTGGACGCGAAGGAAGAGGGAGCCAAAGAGTCCCATCGACACTTGCGCATACGCCGATGAGGCCTCTCTGAGGCCTCACTAAAGAGGCCTCACTATTAGAGAGGCCTCACTTGTCTGAGGCCTCACTTGGCTCCGCCGGGCTGAGCAGCGTACCAAGAAGATACAGCCCCCGGTGCTGTCGCTGCGGGAGGGGAATTGGGAGGGCGGACATCACCGGATTGGTCTAGAGACTCCCTGTCGCCACCACCTCCAAGACCCCGACGCAAGATTGGGCAGATCCGTCGTCGCTTGGCGTCAATTGAAAGGGTCCTGGGGGCCTCACTGCACGTGAAATGGAGGGGGAGGGGCCTGATGGCACGCTTGGCAACCGGTTCAGAGTGCCGTGCTGGCGTTTGTCTGGGGGGGGAGCACTACCCAGCGTGACCAGTAGGGTGACGTCAATGGCGATGATGCTGCGCCCGCCGCGACCAACGAGGGCCGGAGGTTGAAGATAGCTCTATGTAGCTTGGGTGGTACGCTAATCTGATTCGCTGGGTTCTGGCTGTCTGCTTAGGCAGCTTCCACGCTATGGTCGTAGAGGGAGTGGTTGATGGTAGGCGAGAGGGTGACAAGCGCCATCGCTTGATCCTTGACCCTTGACTCTTGATGCTGGGGAGGCGCAACTCTGCGGGGTAACCGTGAACTTACTACCATTTAGGGGGCATCCAGCGTATGTCGATGGCAGTGTTTCAGTCAGGTGATACCCCGTAGCCTGCTGGAGCTGTGCGTGCCTTTGTCTAATCGGAGGCCTGGAGCTACGATCAGGTCAAGTGGTTCGATCTTAGCTCGTAGATGGACATGTACCCATTGCTTGGTACACAGGCACGGCTCCTTGCTGCTGTGTGAGACGAGCGGTGTTTCATTTGGATGATCGCTAGGTACAGGCTGTAGAGATCGGTACGATTCGAGTGCGGAAAGGCGCGGGCCAAGGAATTGTCAGGTCGAAGCCGAGCACCAATCGCGACCGGTCAGACATATTGAGCAGGCAACTCACACCACAGCATGCAGCTAGGGTTGCATTGGCCATCATCCGGAGGGAACCATGTACTGAGGTTGGGCTGATACATGCCATGTACTGGTACATGTGCCCATCTAAAGCTTCGGTGCTGCCCTAAGACTTCATCATCAATACTTTGTATGACTGCGCACTAGCTTCCCATAGATCGATCCTCAGCAAGAGGTACCGTCATACTATCCATTATCCGCCATCCAGAGGCAAGACTGACAAGTATAATAGCCCCCATTATCCCTTGCCACACCTGTTCATTTCTCTCTCTTTGATCTACTCTTTCACACTTCCCTATCACTACGAAATCTCAAGCACACAAAATATCGACCTACCTCCTGTTCTCTGCTTAATATTAATACAAGTGTTACGTTGTTGACTTTCATCATCATGGACCACTCAAACGACCAAACCCACGACAACCCCTTCAGTGGTTCTACAAACCCCTTTGACGGCACTGCCGTCGGCTCTCCTCCTCTAGCCAATGAGTCGCCTATTGCCGCCGGTATGAAGAAGGACCGACGAATGAGTGATGAATGGGGTGTGTTCTTCCCATCACCTCCCTTTCCCCAATCTCTCTGAATTTACTGACTAACAACACGGATCCAGATGCTGCCAAGACTGTCCCTAGCCAATTCCAAAAGCGCAAGGGCTCAATCTATGCCACCCCCAGCTCGCGCGATGGCCACATCGACAGGAATCGCCAGGAGAAGTACTATGAAAAGATTGCCGAGAAGTACAGTCATGTCAAGAATGCTCTCGACAACCGACGATGATCGTCGACGGGATCTATCAAGTGTCTGTTTAAAACAAGTGTTTGATTAGTGTTTGTAGTACGTGCCATGTTTTCTGCGTCGGGGGATCGCTGTTTGTCAGTGTCTTTGTTGTTGTATTGTATAGTATGAGCGAAAGATGGACCGAGGAAAGAATTCGAGAAATCCGCTTTAATTCATTCATGGCGACTAACTCTGCCAGTTGTGTCCTCATCGTTGGAAAAAAATAGCCCCTAAAGATAAGAAAAATGAAAAGAATAATAAGCAGTATGCGTCTGTGTGTTCAATACAAAGGAAAAGCGAGAATTGAAGAGCCTCCACCAAGTCCTCCCAAAAATATACAACCGTTATTCGTCAATATCAATCGCATCAGGGTTGGCTGGCACGACTGGACCACCATTGCTCACTGCACCATTGCCAACAGGCCCGCTACTCGAGGGAACGAACCCTTGTGGAGCTCGCAGCTGTCTCTCGAGTGCCGCCATAGCATCAGCCCCTCCGTCGTTCTCATCGAGGCCGCGGGCCTGTCCTTGGCTTCTCGCCAGCGCTTGAGAGGCGATGAAGTTAACATCAGTGTTGTACTGCGCCTGGACGCTCCTCTTAATCCGCAGCATTTCTTTGTATGTATCCTCGTTTCCGTGCTGCACCTCAAACTGTTCCCACTTGGTCCAGAACTCTGGGCTGGTACGGGGATCGCAGAATTGTGATGCATGCCCATAAATGGCACGGGCACGGTCAATCTCACCCAATCTCTTCTCCATGTCGGCAAATTTGAGACACATTTCCTTGGCCTCGCTATCCGGCAGCACCGTGATGGCCCTCTCGTAGATTGGCCGTGTTGATGGGAGACCAAAGTTGGACGCAGATTTGGTGATGTAGAAGTTAAACATGTCTGCACGATCTTCGTCGGCCACAGCACGTGTCGCCCGCTCGTAGATGCGCATTGCATGACGCGCCAGGCCACGTTCCTCCTCGAGATTGCCGTACATGAGGTATATTGTTTTTGCGAACTTGGGAGGGCAGTCTTCGACCGCTTGCTCGAAGAGATCACGCAGTCGCTCGATCCCAATCTTGCGATCAACTGCCTTGGTGAGATATAAGTTCCAAAGCTCGAATGCCACAGGATAACTAAACAGGTCTAAACCTCTTTCGTAGATCTTGAATGACTCCTCAAAGTATTTGCTCTCTTCCAGTAGGTTCGCGTAATTCACCACCGTCTGCGGCGTGGCTATCCGGAGCTCAAATATCCTTTCGTAGACCTTCTTAGTCTCCTCCAAGGTAGACACACTCTCCACAAGGTCGACGTAAAAACTCCACAACTTCCAGCTCTTGTGAACTCGTTGTTGTGGGGATAAGGTCTCGTCGAAATAATCCACTGTCGATCGCTTTGGTGCCTGAACTGCCTTGGCCATGATGCGGACTGCATCGTCGAAGTTTTCGTTGCGCAATTCCATCTCAGCCCATTCGATCCACATGTCCGCCAGCTCTGCCACAGATTTGAAAGGCACCTTGACGGCCTTCTCCATGATGACGCGGGCGTTTCGAATATCGCCTCCCCGTTCGTAGAATTTGGCGTAGTTGGCCCAGAGCTGATGGAAGGCCCCCATGGCTCGTTTGGGGTTGATGGCCGCAATAGCGTCGGTGTAGGTCTGCGCGACCTCCTGTGTGTTTTCGCCCCAAAGAACAACTCTCTTCTCCCACTCGGACACGTTATGCGGGTTCTGGCGCAAGAGAACATCGTTGAGTAGGAATGGCCGGCGATCCATGAGATGCTCGAATCTCATCATGCGAATATCGAGCTCAAGGTCCGCGTCCACATCCTCAACACCCTTCTCCGTTCGAAGAGCGGCCCGGTCCATGAGGGCCCCTAGAATCGACTCTTCAAACTCCGCGTACGAGTCGAAGATGAGCGTGAAGTCCCTTACAGTCATCACTGTTATGATGGCCTCCTCAAGAACATCGCGCGCCTTTTCGAAACGCCCTCTTCGCATCCAGTAGGTCGCAAGACCGACCCAGAGCTTACCCCTTTGATCGGCAAACCGAGCGATGCCACTCCTGATGATCTGCTCCGGGTCCACGCCAGTGTCGTAACTTGCCTGGATATCCGGGGCATGGTTGACCAACACATCGACCATCTCGCTCCACAGCTCGTAATGGCCCTTGCCCTGCTTGCTCACGAACTGGCGGTTGTTGAGGATATTGATGTACTGTTGAATTGCCTCGGTGTACAATTTGTTCTCGAGAAGCAGCTCGATAAAGTCCTCAGTGTCCTCTGGGTGGACCTGCATGTACCGGCGCCAGATCTTCACGGCGGTCTCCCCGGAGGCCGAGTTCGCAAATGGTCGGAAGAGTGCCCATATCCGGTTGTGCTGGGTGATGGGAAGCGCGCGTAACGCCCGATCGAACGCTCGGCGTGTTGTGGTGACGAGTGGTTGCCGCATGAGGAATTTGAGGTACATTTCCCAAATCCGTGGCATCTTGTTCAGTAAAATCAGCGCTCTCTCGAACAACGAGTTAACCTTTCGGTATTCGCCAGCAAAAATAGCAGGATTGAGATCGGCGACATGTTTTGTCCGGAAATTGAGATACTATGACTGTTAACAAAGCGTCCACACGCATAACGACGGACAAGGCCAGTGTACTTACGAGCTTCCAGAGTTTGTACGATCGGGGCAGCTGGGAGCAAGCCCGCTCCATGACGAAGGCTTGTTCGAGAAGTGAGCCATATTTGTTCTTAAATTCGATATAGGCTAGCCATGGCTTGATGCTGGCGGGTTCTCGAATGATGTCTTGTTCGTAAATGGAGTCCTCGTTGGACTGCAACAAAGTCAGTCTTTGCTGCCCCACGTCGGGCACGAGAAATCAGAGCATGGTGTTCACTTACGAGAAGGCTGAGCTCAGGTCTTCGGCCTGAGACCGTCCCCGAGGGAATGACTTCCATCATGGGCTGCGATTTCGTACGAATCTGGGCGCTGAGGCGACTTCCAGCGATGGGAGCAGCGTCCGGGTGCAGACAACGCAGCACAGATCCTTTCCTATAACAAGCTGCTCATTGTTCCCGAAGTCGCAGTTGGTGAAGAGCAAGCTTGGGGACCCGCGGTTCCCCGTCTGCGTCGTTTCGTTTGCTGCTGCGGCCGGATCCTGCGCAACGTACTCGAAACACAGTGGGTTGCTGAGGTTGAATCCCAAAGTCTACGCGCCTGCCGGATGAAGCCTGTCGCGAATTCTTAGCTAAACTTCGATACAAGCATATTTTCCGCGTACAAGAGGGTGATCGGCCATGGGGCTCATAAAAATGTACTTTGCGCCCCGCTTATGCAAGCCCGGGGCCTTGGTGAAGGGTGGCTGGTGTGGCGCAACATTTGATAGCGGGGACGCTTATGTTGATGCGCTGCACCTGCTCCGTCATTGAGAGAGGTGCCAGTGCTGCTACTGCTGCAAGCTCGATAACCTCGCCGATACGTACTGCCGAGCCCGAGTTGGCGCTTCCATCCCCCTGCGCAATATCGAGGCCCTTTGAGACCTGTCCTTCGACTCTTAGGAAGAAGCCATTCTAATAATCTTCCTAATTCCGCTCCTTATTCACAATGTCGGGCGCCGCGGTATGCCACTGGGTCAATGCTTGGTTGGAGTGGACAGCTAGCTAACGGGTTGAATAGGATCGTGAGCCCGTCTTCCCGACCCGGCAATCGCTGGGTATCATGAAGGCGAAGCTCAAGGGAGCTGAGACTGGACACAGCTTGCTCAAGAGAAAGAGTGAGGCCTTGACAAAGTATGTTTCCCTGTCGACTCGGTCTTCTGTCTTGAATATATAGCTAACTCTACCTCCTCATCTTAGGCGCTTCCGAGGTTTGTCAACACACATCGATCCTGATCCGTCCGTTCGGGGCACTGATTTTTTGATGCATAGAAATCACGAAGCGAATCGATGAAGCGAAGCGCAAGATGGGACGTGTTATGCAGATTGCCGCCTTCTCCCTCGCCGAAGTAACCTACGCCGTTGGAGGAGACATTGGCTACCAGGTGCAGGAGTCAGCCAAGTCTGCCCGTTTCAGGATCCGAACGAAGCAAGACAACGTTTCGGGTGTCCTACTTCCGGCATACGAGAGCTACCTGACGGAAGGCAACAACGATTTCGGACTGACTGGTCTCGGCAAGGGAGGTCAGCAAGTCCAGCGAGCAAGAGAGACTTATGCTCGAGCAGTGGAAGCGCTCGTCGAGTTGGCGAGTCTGCAAACTGCCTTCGTTATCCTTGATGAGGTGATCAAGGTCGTCAACAGGCGAGGTATGCTGTTTGGACTGGATATCTTCTCTGTTTTCTTTCTTTACTGACCCTTTATCAGTCAATGCGATTGAGCACGTCATTATTCCTCGCACAGAGAATACTATCAAGTATATCAACTCAGAGCTTGATGAGCTTGATCGTGAGGAGTTCTACAGGTTGAAGAAGGTCTGTGATCAATACGACTTGATTGCTTTACTGGGCGAAGACGCGCTAACGCAAAATAGGTCGCGAACAAGAAGCAGCGGGATGTTGCCGCACAAGATGCAGAGATGAAGGCAAGAAGAGAGAAACAGGCCGCAGAGAAAGGTGCCGCAGCAGCAGCAGCGGATGACAAGACTGTAAGCTCTGCCGATTTGCTGGCCGCAGAAGACGATGACGATGTGATTTTTTAAGCGGCATTCCCATCTCATCTGCCATTACGGCCTTGTTCTCACGCTGGGAGGCTCATCAATGTTGGGTGTACATCAATGGTCTTGTACGAGGCTTGTTTTGCTATTGAATTCCTTCCTAAGCTGGCGTATTATTACAGTTGGTAGCATTATTTCCACTATTGACGTTGGTATGTGACTCTGATGTTCTTGTCCCCTAAAGTCATGCCTGCGGTACTCTCCTTGGCTGCAATGGCGCCCTGTTCCGCCTCGTATTCTACGAATGCAATGTTTTTTCGTCCCGGCACCGTTCTTACCTCGCGGAAACCTTCGAAGCGGGAGAAGATGGCGGTGAGAGCATCCACGTCGGACGCGTCGGGGAGATTCTGCAAGAAGAGAATCTTGTTCGGGGGAAGGTATTCGTCTGGCACGACTGAGGAGGTAGCGACACTGGTCGACTTGAGGCCGGATGGCCTGGCAGCCTTGATCGGTCTGGGGTCTGTTGGGGCTCCAGCGGCGCGCTTGAGCTGCCTCTGCTCTTCGGCAGCTTCCTCGGCCTGCCTCTTCTCTGTTGGGGTTTCAAAGTCAGCCTCGTTGATCCAGGGTAATTTCTCGGGTGGCTCAGGCCTACCTTTCTCAGCTTGGCGGTGTTGCTTGTGAGACTCTAATTCCTCGCCGCTGCAGTTAAGCTCGACTGTCTTGTCGCTCTTTGATCGCGCCATCGCGACACGCAATGGCTTGTCGAACAGAGGGAAGCCTTGCACCTCCTCGATGGCAGTCTGCGCGCTCTGGGGGTCGTCAAAGACCACGAAGGCCTGGCCCTTGGCCTTGAGGTTCTTCTTCGCTACGATGTCGACCACATTTCCAAATTCCTCAAAGATGGCTCGGAGCGCATAGGTCAGCGCGTCGGGCTTGACGCGCTCTTCGAGATTTTGCACGTAGACCCTAAGAAGTGAGGTTAGCCAACATCATCACGTCGCGTGTCGGAGTGCAATGACACGAACGTTGAGACTGGTAGCGTGGAGGCCATCTTGGAAATAGCAGGAAGAATCCAGTCCTCTGAACTTGATACTTGGTGGCTAGAACAAGGGCTAGTTGTAGCAGTGAAGCTTGAGTGATGATGCTGGGCAAAGCAGCTTGGCGAAAGTGAGAGGATCAGAAAGCTTATCGCATGCTGATGACTAAGCCACGCGCCACGACTAACACCGCTCACTCTTGCCCCGACTGACATGGACATCAAACGAGAACTGTTGATGACACAAGGGAGAAATGTATCATTTTGCACACGTCCCTTCAATGGCATCCCGCGACCACCCATCGGGATGCTGAATTGGAAGATCAAACAGGAGATACCTGTTTTTCTACGCCCTTGACGTAGGTGGTGAGTCAACCCTGCCGTCTGGTAACGAAGATCATTGACGTCTCTGCACCCTCCCGCCTTGTGGAAGACACAGTCGTCATTTGCCTCGTGGCAGGGCGTTATCTCCGTCTCTTCGAAACGAGACCAACCTGCCACGCCAAAATTCCCGAATCAAGGCTAAGTGTGGTTGGGAATGGGAGATAAGGATGAGAGCTATGGAAATCTGATGAACTGGCCTCCTTCGTTTGTTGATCTGCCGGCCGTAGCATACTCAGATGCAGTCGGATCGACAACTGCTACGAGATCGCCATGCAGAAACTTCATTTCCCGTGGGCCTTGGATTTCTTCATTGGGCGGGAGATGATGGATATCGTCCGGTATGCACCGCATTGGTATGGATCTACGATGGCGATATCTTTTCCACCATCTCGATTTGCAGAGTCGGCGGCTCCTAATGGCTTTAAAGCCCGCAAACCTCATGGCGGCCCTGCGAGGAGAGGAGTGAAAGCCCTCCTGAAGACCACTAGAACGCGTCCGCATTCCAATGAAGATGGTTCTACCAAGGATTTGGATAAGGAGCCTTGGGAGCTATCTGACTAGTCCCGCCATCACGGCCCGCTTCTCTTGAACTTTCTCCTGACAGTGGACGTGACACAACGAGCTAAGCGCATGCTATCCAGGGGCTTTGTCCGTTAGACCATCGCGGATTCGGGTCATCATATGTGACTTGTGCCATATGCGGTCATCCTGCAGAAGCTCGAAGCTTGTTGATGAGCTTGAATCAACGCGGCAGAAGACACTAGGCTACGAGTGGCCCCTTTGTTGGTCCACATGTCTCAGCGGCCACTTTCCGGGCCATTCACTTGGGAACATCCTGGGCCTCATTTCTTTTCCGCTGTCTGGTTTCGCGGTTGTTTTTCACGAGCATGTGGATCAGCAGTGGGAGGCCCGTTTCAGAATTGCCGGCCAGAGGCCTCGTGCTCTCATTCTTTCCAGCTTCGACAGTGACATGATTGTAATACTAGATCCTGCTTCTTTGGCCGTCAACTGGTATGTGATATTTTGACCCTGTTTATTCATGATTCATCATGGAGAAAACATGGGCGGGAGAGGGCTTGCTGTTGCTCCATCTTGGAGTGTGTGAGAGCATATATGAGGAAATAGTACCTCGGGAAAGAAGGGTTACAAGGCAAAGTTTGTTCTAGACTTCTGATGTATCAGCTCTTTTGATTCATTGATAAATTCCTCCCACGTCCTCTTTCTTGGCATCTAACCCTCTACAAAAACAAGTGACGCTTTGGAGGGGTCAAGTTGTGGTCTCGACCGTGCCAACATGAAGTTGTCCATGGATCCAGAGTCGCTTCTTGCCGGAGAGCTCTCGGACGAGCTGCTTCAGCTCTACCAACGCCCGCTTGATGAAGTTAGGCATAGCCCGTGGGTGAGCAGCCCATGCCTGCCGAAAGCTGTCTTGCTACAGTCTATCCCTGCCCCGTCCCATCCTTCGTTTCGACCACTTCACCTGCTCTACGTTGCCCTTTCTGAGCTTCCTGGACCATGGCCTACATTTGAGCTCGTCAAGTGCCACACCAGAGTTTCCAAATACCTGCCTGACAGTGCTAGGAGTGGTGAAGGCGATCAACAACTCCAGTGGCTTGTCGATGCTACGAGCCAACTGGTAAAAAGATCCTATGGTGGGATTGGTGACTTTTTGGGAGACGCTCCCCGTCCTGCTCTCCTCGCGACAGATTCACGAAGCTACATCACCCACCAGGGATTGTCCAAGTATGTGGCCAACTTTCGTCTACCTACACGCGATGCGCCGAGAAAACCTACTGTTGCAATCGCCCTCCCCAATGGGCCACTTCTTGCTGCCACTTGTGTCGCGGTAGCCACCCACTACACCGCAGCCCCGATCAATCCAGTGGCAGGCCAGGATCAGTTTCGGGCAGATGTCGAAAATTCTGGCGCCAGTCTGATCTTAACGACCCTGGACGACTGCGAGAAGTTGGGGGTACAAGAATGGGCGCCTTCAAGGGGGGTTGAGATCGTGGTGGTGGACTGGGATCAAAGAGACGGCATAGCTCTGAGGTCGTTGGAGGGACGGGCCTTGGCTTGCTCCGAAAAGCCGCCTGAGCCTAACCGAGCCGACGACATTGCCCTGATTCTATTCACAAGCGGGACGTCTGGGACGAAGAAGATAGTACCTATCACGGTGCACTCGATGATTGCCGGTATCTTGTTTGTCATGGAATCCTGGGGCTTGACTGAGACGGATGTCTGCCTCAACATGATGCCCTTGTATCATGTGTAAGTGCCACCCTTTGACCGTGCGTACTGAAACCCATGCTAAACAGTTATTACAGAGGAGGGTTGATTAGAAACATCTTTGCGCCCCTATTTTCTGGCGGTTCCACGATATGCTGCTCTGCGTTTGATCCCAATATGTTTTGGGATGTTGTGGAGGAGCTACATCCTACTTGGTACTATGCTTCTCCCTCTATGCATTCAGTGATCCTCGAACAAGCTTCCACACGCCAAGAGTCTCTGGAAAAGAGCCGAATAAGACTTGCGTGTAATGCGGCAGGTGGACTGTTGCCATCCTTGGCCTGCCAGCTCCGCGATACATTCAGCTGCGTTGTGCTCCCCAGCTACGGAATGACAGAGTCAGTTGTCTCTCCTTAAAAGGTCTTTTTTTCCACTAGTTGTACTAATCTGACGACAGATGCATGCCCATTTCGACTCCCCCGCTTGATTACAAACTTGATAGGGAGGGGACGTCTGGTATCAGTACCGGCCCCGAGTTGGCCATTCTTGATTGGAATGAGGGGAAAGTGGAATGTGGTACCGTTGGCAGAATCTGTGTGCGCGGCGAACCTGTTTTCCCTGGCTACCTCATGCCGGATGGAACCTACGACAAATCCCCTTTCAATAAGCACGGGTGGTTTGATACAGGTGACTTGGGTTACATGGATCCAGAGGGCTACCTCTACATTACTGGCCGAAGTAAAGAGGTGATCAACCGTGGCGGAGAGTTGATCTCTCCGTTCGAGGTCGAGAACGCGATCTTATCGGCGTCCATATCAGCAGAGAGCCCTATACAGGGACGTATCAGTCAAGTTCTTGCATTTTCTGCTCGCCATGATGTGCTTCAAGAAGTGGTAGCGGTCGTGCTGGTCACGCCCCCAAAAGTCCCAAGAGTTGACCTAAGAACTCTTCACACTGTTCTGCGGTCCTCATTACAACAGGTGAAGTGGCCCATGCTGGTTGTTTACATGGACGACTTGCCCAAGAAGAACAATAAGGTGTTGCGCATAAGCCTCTCTCAGCGATTGAAATTACCAGGTGTGAGCGATGAGACGAATTATCTTGCTCGACATTGGGAGGCAAGGTGTCCACCGCCGGATACGGCACTGTCAGTTGGAATACCTTCAAAGTTATGCCCAGTCGACCCTCTCGCTGTATACCACAACCTTAAGGAGATACTTCCTCAAAACTTGCGCCACTATTACCGAAATTCTTCTGACATCGCTGCCGCCAGCCTTTTCATCGCTCCGTGCAGATCTGGGGGGCCTGCTTTAGACCCTCGACTGGCAGATACTGTCAAATCCCACATGGCAAAATCTTTACATAATTACTTGGTGCCAGATCAAGTTCAATTGATGAAGGAACCATTACCCACTCTCCCTGGTGGCGAAGTGGATGAAAAGAAGCTTGACAAAGCCATCAACGAGCTTCAGGAAGCGACTTTGGCTAAGCTGACTGCCTCTGTAGAAGGCAGAGTGACGAAGGCCTTTGCCGACGTTCTGGGATGCCGGCCAGACGACGTGTTCCCAAATGCCGACTTCTTCAGTCTTGGAGGTGACTCGCTTCGCGCTGGTCGTCTAGTATCACTGCTTCGTACTACTTTCAATGTCCATCTGTCTATCAACCTTATCTTCAACCATGGAACAGTCAAGGCCATAGCCTCGCACATTGAAGGCCTTCAGGGAGAGGAGGTAGAAGTCAATACCAAGCCTGTCGGATGTGCGGTAACACACAGCTCTACAAATCCCTTCTTGATGCTGCTGCAACTCTTCCCGATGGTCGTCGCCTACCCGCTCCGCCGGGCCCTGCACCTGTCTATTTTCATGTTAGGTCTTTCGTATACCCAGGGCTGGCCCACCAACAACTCATTGGTCGGCAGACTACTCAACCTAACGATTTCGCTCTTGTTTTCTGGGGTGGTGATGCGGGCCTTCACCCCCTTTGTCGGCATTTTGGCCAAGTGGCTGATCATCGGTCGTTACCGTGAAGGCCTCTATCCTATGTGGGGGCTTTATCACACGAGGTGGTGGCTTGTCGAGAAGATACACGCTATCTGTGGTCTCGGGTTCTTCACTACGTGTGATGCTACTATGCGTATGTACTACCGTCTCATGGGAGCTCGCATTGGAAAGGATGTCAAGCTTTCCAAAGCGTCTCTGGGCGAATGGGATCTACTGGATATCCGAGATGGCGCAACATTGGCGGGGTGTATCTGTCGTCCGTTTGCTGCTGAGGGTAACACCTCAATGTACTTGGGCCGGATCACCGTCGGGGAGAAAGCATATGTCGGAACATCCTCAATTGTAGCTGCAGGATCTGTCATCCCTGCCAATACATGTATTGGCCCCAACTCTTCCAGTTGGGAGCTGGACGATGCCGATGAGTCCAACCGCGGACTGGGGCACTCGGGTGCGCCAAAGCCACATTGGCTGCTGGCTGGACTCTTCACCTTTCCCCTTAGTGTGGTTGGTAATTTCGCTGCCATGATGCCTTGGTTTGCTGGTCTTCTTGGAATGGTGATCGATAAGCCAGCCCAAGGCAGCATGGCCATTCGCGCCATCCTGAACTGGTTCACTGATGCTGATCGAGTCGGCTACCACTATCTAGCACTTGTTCTGAGAAGTCTCTTGTCGCCCTTCATTATATTCGGTTTCACCGTTCTTGTAAAGCTGTGTCTTGATGTGATATTTGGTCAAATGACTGGAGGACCGGCGGAAGGCCGCGGAGCCATTGCGACCTGGCGAGCATCCCTCATCAAAACTCTGCTCCCTGAGAGACGCCTCCATGACGTGACTGCTTTATTTGGCCAGCACTACGAGGCTACTTCAGTGGCTATCCGAATGCTGGGAGGCAAGATCGGAAAGCGCGTGTATTGGCCAGGCACTGGGCCCTCAATTGGAGATTACCATTTATTGGACATTGGGAACGACGTTGTGTTTGGATCCAGATCGCACCTTGTCACATCGGATAAAACAGGGTCTGAGAAAGTCATTGTCCGCGATCGCGCGATGATTGCCGACCGAGTCTGCCTTCTCCCTGGTGTTGACGTCGGGGAGAGAACTGTGATGGGCTCAGGCGCACTCACGAAGCGTGGGGCACTGTACCCGTCAGATGGCACCTATGTTGGCTCCAAGGGAGGTGATTCCGTTTGCTTGGCAGCTGGTCGTGAGAAGTCAACTATAAGGTTCCGTGCAGCTCCCCACCATAGTCGAAACGGCAGCGAAACGACATTGGAAGCGGGAGAAGATGTTGAGCAGAAGAGGGAGCCAAGGTCCCAGGTGCAACACATGAGTAGCGACGACACTCTCGCCGAGACGCGAAGGAACTCTGCGAAGAAGTCACACAGAACCTCTGAGCGCTATGTTGGCTCGGACTCGGAGACGGAGCGAAGTTCAAGCGAGGCATCCAACGATTCCTCTCCGTTCGGCAGAGCATTTCACATGAAGATTGCCCCCTACCACGTTTTTGGGCATTTCGCCATCTTCTGCTACTCATCATTCCTCACGGTATTCGCATCATTCTTCTGGAACGTGCCCAGCATCTCAGCTGCGCAGGTTGTTGACGTGATTGTGCGCCGCTTCGTACCTCAAGTCAGCTTCTGGTACGACTGGCTCGGTATCTTCCTGTTGAACTGGGTGGTCATTGCGATCATCACTACGCTCCATGCCGTGCTGGCCGTGGCCATCGTGATAGCTGCGAAATGGATCCTGCTTGGACGACGCATGCCTGGGAACTACGACTGGGACAAGTCGCCGTACTGCCAGCGATGGCAGCTCTTCCTGTCTATTGAGAAGATTCGGCGCCAGTGTTACCGTGGCAAGGGCGTTCTGGGAATGTTGACTGGTACTCACTGGACTGTGATGTACTTCCGCGCCATGGGAGCCAAGATCGGCAAGGACTGTGCTCTGTTTGCCAATGGGCGACCAAGTCTGGCCTTCACTGAGCCAGACTTGATCAGCCTCGGGGACAGAGTCGTGGTAGATGATGCCAGTGTGGTCGCTCACATAAACACTCGGGGCAAGTTTGATCTCAACAGGCTGGAGATTGGAGACCGGTGCGTCCTGCGAACTGGTAGCAGACTCTTGAGTGGTGCGACGATGAAGAATGACAGCTGCTTGTTGGAACACACCCTGATCATGGGCGGTGATGTTGTGGAGGCAAACCAAACGATGCAGGGGTGGCCCGCGGAGAGGTTCAAAGGGCAGAGAGTCAAATGCGAGGCGATACCCGAGCAGGTAACCGAGAAAGCCTGAAAAAGGACGTGGTCTTTCTCTGTCCTCGGACGGAAATGAGAAAGGGACCAAGACCCTACCATTTGCAGAGGGAACGAGCTCTGCAAGCTGCTGTCATTATTGAAAAGTTGGAACATAGGACACTCACTTATTTCGCGCCGTCTTTCCGCCTGCCCGGTCAGGTTGTTACGTTCACTGCGGCTTTGCTCCTGAAATATTGTGTCATTGTGCGACATTTATTATTTAGAATTTAGATTAGATCGTTTGAGCACACTCGTTTGGTTTTGAGGTTTGGGATCTATGTTACTACGTACAGTCACTACATATCAAGCACAAATGCAGAATCTGTTCAAATTATAACCATGAGATTTGACCTTGGGTGAACCGGGATGTGAAGATACCTTGATGGAAATTCTACTGTCGTAAATCACATCGTAAGCAAAAGCCTCTCTACTTTGATCACGTTCTCAACGGCCGCGTGATATTTCTTGCCAGCATACATAATCCCCAGCGAGACGTAAGAGTTCGTAAAGTAGTTTTTATGTCAATAGAAATTCTTGGATGGGTATCATTGCCTCAGCATGGACAAAAAGCTTCAAATCCTGGCCTTCTTGGGCTGAGTAATAATCGAGGCCATCCTCCCACGGCTGAGGATCTTCCCCCGCTCATCCTCAAGAGTTATTGCGATGTCGATATTGCGCCCTTCGATCTTATTAAGCTTTGACTTCAACATTAGGACCCTGGGCACGAGCACCGGTGCCAAGTACTCCACCTCCAGCTTCTTCGTCATTGACCCGCTGGTCGGCAGTATCTTCCCGCCTGCGATGGCTTGCGTCACATTCGCTTGGCCGAGCCAGCCCCCTGCCATGTCGAACAGAAACGAGGTGAATCCGCCGTGGCAGACGCCCTCCCACCCGCTCACGTTGACGCCGACGTCCACCAGGAGGCTCATTTCCCGGATAGCGAATATCCCAAGATCGGATCCGTCTGTGGGCTGGGGGGCGCGTTTGGCGAAAATCATGAAGGCGCTCATGCCATTATCCACCCTCAGAAGGCGCCGGTGGAATAAATCTATATCGGGGCTTTCATCCTGTGGGTAGATGTAGTCTAGCTTGTCTATGTCCCCGATGAGCGATGCACACCATGGGATCGAGAGGAAATGATTCACGTCGGGCGAAGCGGACATGGTTTCTATGTAGGATTGTTTGATGTCCCTTTAAGGCAGGGTATAACAGATTTAGTGGGACAATACCTGGTTTTATATCATTCTCGGCGTTGACCGATATAGTTCGCCATTCGAAAGAGCCGAGGTTTAACGGCAGTGCGCGGCATTCAGACAAGGGTCTGACTGACTAATGGTGATCCTGGACGGGATCTCATAGATCTTGGCGATGCCCGGCGGGGATCAAAAGTTTATCGAGTCTTTAATTTTTGCTATGGGGTTGTAATTAAGCTCTTGGTTCTTCTGATATCTTGAATATATGGGTTGGAGCGTGACAAATTACGAACAGATATCTCTTTGCCTACCAAATCATTCAACTTCTAGACGTCAGAAATGTTTTGAAGGTTCTGCAACGTTTGAGCAATTAAATTTCTAGATCGTCGAATATTTTGCTCTCAGAAGAACCAGCATTCTTTGCCTAACAAGTGATTGCTGCTCCAAGCCTTCTATGGTGGTCTCAACCTCCCACGAGGAAACAAAAAACGCTTGCCCTTGGTAATGCGTGGTTGGATTTCATGTCCAGCTTAATTACAGTCGATTGAGGGTTCCCCATGTAAGCTTGTATGTATTTATATCTTTGATAGCCTAGCCAAGCATCTCATGCTACAATATTCATTAGTGAACTCAATTGCAATTATATGATATAATATCCGCGCGATTAGAATAAGGTTGCTAGATACTCGGAATACTTGCTCTAGTCAGATATATTGCCCAGCCTCTCTCTAAGCTCTCTCTTCGGCTAAGGTATTCCCGGCTGTTAGGTATTATATGATGGCTAGCTGTCCCAGGGCGACAACTTATTTGGCCATATCCTCGAGTAAACACCAGACGACCATACCTAATACGATCAAGACGATGCCTCCCTCCCATGACCAGTGGAGCTGTCATAGCCGAACAAGCATTACTCGCGCGGAGGAAGAAAGTCCCCACGATTGCTAAGCAAAGCTCCATGGTTAATACCGATCTGAAGAGCCGATCGAACTTCGTCCGAAATATGAAACTGGCGGCAAACCCCCCTGGCTTGTGCGTTGATGCCTGAGTGTGATGGGATCGGTGATGCATGCATTAGGGCTCGGCTAGGCAAGAGGAAATAGGCGACGGCTGCGTCCACCCCTGAGCCTGCCAAGTTTTGGGATACCCTGAGAAAAAGAAAAGAGGCGGACGATTCAGAAAAGGGGGAGCAAGCGTCAAGGCACGCCTTCAATACTATGAATCATGCAACACCAGTCTACCTTGGTCTTGATCACACTTGTGGTGACGATCATACCTGCTCTTGATGAGCGGTCTTGGTTTGAAGCCAAGATGACATCGATCTGCACCTCGCCCGGGCATGATGGGAGGCAATGATTGGATCGGAAGTTGCCTCAGCGCCACGTTTTGACTTTGAGGAGCTATTGATGCTACTACCCAATATCGCTCGCTCAGGGGCCGGGGTTAAATGGCAGCGATTAATCAGGGAAAGCATGCATCATGCAGGGGTTCCTGAACTTGGACAGAACAAGCTGGTGCAAGCCGGGTCGAAACACTGACATGTTCGGGGAGAACTAGAGCTATCGAGAAATACCACCGGCTGCCTGCACAGGTTCCGAGTGGCGTAGAGACTACCCAGATTTGGGGTAGCCGTACTTAGGATAGTCAATGAGGAATCTAATCAGATGGGGGAAGCATATGTACATAGAAGCTGTTGCACAGCCTACGGGAGTGGGAGGCAACAAACCACCTCACCTGCAGCCGCTGTCCGCCTTTGGCTGCCTGCAGACTGGAGGACCTGCAGCGATGCAGGGGAAGAGGGAAGACTCCAATAGCGAGGACCCTAGAACCACTAGCAGTCTGCCCGGAGAGATCCGTGCCTGATCTAGCCCTTCACCAGCCAAGGGCTAGACGGGCGAATTGGGGTCCGTGCTAACGGGGACTAGGTGATCTAGCGAGCCGTTGGACAGTTGGCGAACAAAGTAAAAGAAAAACTCTTGCTCCAAGTGACTATGCTTAGATGGTGAGAGCGCAGGGAGTAAAGATTTGGGGGCTCTAGGCCGACATTCACGATTCATTCATCAAAGACATATTCAGGGTTGACACATCACTCAGCAAAGTTGTTGATGATTCATGTTATCATTCCAATCCTAAAAAGAATCTCAAGGCTCTAGAAAGTGTGTCTGTCAAAGTACAGCACGGCTACATGAAATCAGAAAGTCCGTTTTTCCTCATTTTCTTTTCCAAAAAGTAAGTTTCATGTCGTGAGACAGGAGGCATCAGTCGAAGGGGTCGTAAAAATCTCATTTGTCGTAGGCACTGTCGTTGCTCCCTCTCAAAGGGAGCGGGAAAACCAGCAGTGTCAAACTTGCTTGGCTTTTGCCTACTGGCGGTTGTAGGTCTTGCGGTTGCGGCGGCCACCTCGGCCCTTGCCCTTGCCATTGCCACGGCCGCTGTCGCTGTCGCTGCCGGAGTCATCCTCCTCTTTATCATCATCACTGCCGGAGTCGGATGTGGCAGTAGCGGAAGCAGCGGTGGATGTAGTGGTGGTAGGGACGGCAGCACCCTTGGTAGTGGTGGTGGTGGGAGCCTGGGAGGTCTTGCTCGCGGCAGTAGTCGTGGCGGAGGGAGCCTGGCCGTTCGTGGTAGGGACGGTGACCTCGCCGCCGCACGTCTGGACCCAGCTGTTGAGGCTGAGCAGCTTCAGGACGGTGCTGAAGCCGTTGGCCTGGGCGGCGCAGAAGGTGCCGGTGCTGTCGGTTGCGAGGGACTTGGCGGCGGCGGAGCTGCTCTCGCCCATGGGGTACTCGATCTGGAAGACGGGCTTGCCGGCGGTGATGAAGGGCTGGTACTGGTCGCACTCGCTGTACTCGGCGCACTGCTCGGTGACGACGAACTGGGTGACGGGGAGGACGTCGGGGATGATGTTGATGGAGTTTTTGAGGCCGAGGGCAAGGCCGTGCTGCTGGGCGGCGGGGGAGAGGACGTTCTTGAAGTAGTCGATGGTGTCCTGCTTGGTGAGGCCGATGCCGTTCTCGTTGTCCTGTTCAGTTGTGTAAGTAACGGGTGAAAGATGAAGAAACAAATAGGGAGAGACTTACATAGCCATCCATGTTATCGGGGTCGATACCGTCGCAGCCGACCTTTGCTGCCAGAGCAATACGGTCGCGCATGATGTTGGCTACATTCTCACTCTTGAGGTTCAGCCAAGTCTCGTCGGGCCAGCCATTGAGGCCAGAGCCCTGGTCAGCAGAGGTGAAGCGGCTGCTGTCGGGGCGGTAGGGCTCGTAGGAGCCGGCGCTGAAGTAGCAGATGACCTTCTTGTTGGCGGCGTGCAAGGCCTTGATCTTGGAATCGTCAGGGTTGGTGAAGGTGTTGCCCGTGTTGGTGAAGAGGTCGATGTCGATGACCTCGACGTTGTTGGGCAGCGAGGGGTTGTTGAGGTCGACCTTGAGCTCCTCGGAGAGCTGGATGTCCCACGAGGTGCCGGGAGCAGGTTGCCAGACGCTGCGTGTTTCAAGGGATCGGCGGAGGGGGGAGCTGGCTGCCAGAGCCACGAAGAAAGCCGAAGCCAGCGACAGGGAGGATGAGGCAGGCATGGTGGTTGATCTGAACTTGATGCAGATAGAAGGAGTGTGTGTGTTTGCTTGTGCTTGTTTCGCAGGTGTTCAAGGAATGTAAATGCGTTGCTTGTTGATGTTCAAGGAATGTATAAACTCTCTGAAGGAGTGATGAGCTTTTGAAGGAAAGACTTGCCTGCAAGGAAGGACTGTTGCGGAACAAAAGATGTTGTTGAAAGGAGAGTCTGACGATGGTGAGGGTGCACACGGCTCTTTATATCTTTGTCCCAGCCCAACTCACGGTCCGACCACCTGCTTCAGAGTGGCTCTCACTCCATGTCTTAAGGAGGGGAGCTTGGCATCCTGAACCCTGTCCTGGTTTCTTGCCATGGCCCCAGGGCTAGTCAGATCAGTCTTGCTCTTGCATATGGCACAATTCAATTCAATTCAGCGGGACCGAGCCCGTCACTGTTGGTGGCCATGTGGCTGGTTTCAGCCTCTACTCCTTAATGTCGCTCCATAGACGCATCTGGCACACTAACCAGCGTCAAGACCGCCGGCCCGTGTCCGGGGCCAATGAGCAGACTGGCTGGTGAGACAGGAATGGAGACAATTGCGTTTGTGTAAGCGCTCAAAAGCCCGAATGTGCCACCCAGACGCCGGCTGCAAGCTGTGGGAGGGAGGGGTAGCATCTATGTCCCATTCATGTCACATATGGTGTGCTATTTGCATGCTGACAGCCCATGCTGGTAACAAATTGTACTGAACAATGCATGGAGAGCCTTATTTTGTCCTTCCCAAAGCAACGTTTGTTGTAGGTAGATGTATTTTTTGGCTCTATCTCGCTCTTAGGACACGAAACTGTTCGTCCAGCCCATCTTTTGGCAGAACCTGGTGGAATCTGCACACAGTCAGGAAATCCGACCAGGACGGGACGAGTTGATGGAGACTTGGGATCGCCTTGAAAGATCCTGGGGGATCGTGTATCCCTGCTTGCCATGATCCCGAGCCTAACCAGTCCATTCATGGATTAGAGTGTATCCATCCTCGGCGGCTACCGACTGTGCCCCTGTTTCATGCCTCAGTTAGGTTTGGTTTTATATCCCTCATTCAGGCACCCGGTGGCCACATGCGGGAATGGCGAAAACTTCACACGCCAAGCTAGGAAAAGCAACAGCTGACATGAAACTCGGCTGTTTTCGAAATCCATGTTGGCTGAGAGTCTCCACGGGTTGGTGCTGGGTCTCTCGCTTGGAGAGCTGTGCCCCTTTCGCAGGCTTACGTCTGCCCCGAACCCACAGCAAACGCCTGGCCAGAGGGACTATGCAGACTATTTCCAGGTAGTCTGCATCTTATTCAATATAAGCCTATATCCCCTTGCATGGCGCACGCCTAGACGGTTTGACTAGACAATAGTGTCTCGCCTAACTGCAC